AATCCCCGGACGCGTGTTCCCGGCGCACTGCTTGACGTCGTAGCCGTAGTTTGCCGCAGCCAAGAGCAGCAGGCGCATGTCTTCCTTGAGTTCGCCAAACTCCAGCGTGATGGATTCGATACGAGTCGACCCGGTTGCGTCGTAAAGGTGCGTGACTCGTTCTGTGGCTCTTTGCAAGGTTTGTTCCGGAGCGCCCCGGCAAAGTCGTCTCACGAGTGCCTGGCACTGTGCGAACGCCTCCTCGAGGCCGGGTGCCCCGATCGTTCCGAATGCGTCCGTGATGCTCGTCGCGCATTCCGATAGGGCAGACGCGGCGCTTCCTACGTCTGACGTCGAATCCAGCTGAGTGCATCCGAGACGGATGCCGGACTTGCTGATGTTCTCTCGAATGGCGTCCATCCAGACCCCGAATGCCTTCAGACGGACCGCAAAGTCTTGGAGGTAGTCCGGAGGGTCCGCGATGATGGCGTTGCACGCGTTCCTATTCGGCGCGCCGGACGTGTCGAATATGATGTTCAATGTGGACACGTCGGGGATCGGATCCATGACGACGTCCTTGGTTTCGCAGATTCCTCTGATCGAAGTCTCGAGGCGCCGTATCGCAGGCGCCGTTTCTGGCGCAAACTCGTTCAAGAGATCCCATTCTGCTCTGACGGGTGCGTCGGGGGCGAAGAGCAAGCACAGCGAATCGGCCTCACCCAAGGACCTGACGTACAGCTGTAGCGCGACCCTCGTCTTCTGAGAGTCGACCAGTTTTCGAAGTCCGGCGAGGTGCTCCGGATCCCGGGCGATGAGCTCCTCCGCCAATCCTCGAAGTGCCATCATGATCTCGGATTCTTCGTCCAACGTCATGCTTTCGACGTTCCCTGACTCGCGCAATGCCTTTGACGCGTCCTGCAAGAACTCGATGGAAGTCGAATCGACAATGGACCTGACGAAAGTCCGCGAATTCATGTACAGTCCGCTGAACCTGGCGAACTCGCCGGCCTGCTCCCGCCCGAATACTCGGGAAACGTCGTCGGTTCTCAGGAATCGGGAGTCGCGTGTGGTGATGTATTGGAAGCTATCTTCGTAGAGTAAGAGAGCATCGTCGCAGGCTTCTTTCACCGCCGTCAGAAACTCGGCGAAAGACTCCGCTTCCGGCCATCGCGGCGGGGGCGTGACGAGAGGAAACTTCGTTCGTGGGTTGCTGTGCTGGAGTAAGAATTCACCTTCTGCCGAGATCCGATATAAGGCCCCTCGATCGGCTTCGCCGGCGTCGGGTGGTCGTTTCTCGAGTTCGGTCAGGGCGAAGAGGGGCGTCATGCGATGCGAGAGGAGCGTCATGATCTCTCTTGCGAAGGACCCACTCGTCATACTCTCGATGTGATGATTAACTCCATCCAAGTCGACGTGCATTTCCCCCAGAGCACGGACGGCCTTTGTAGCACAGAAGAGGTCATTGAGGAGTGCATAGAACTTGAATGCCTTTTCGAGAGTTTGAATGTCCGCACGTCCGTTCGCCGCGCTCGTTCTCTCTTTTTCCAGTCTGGACAATTGGGATCGGATCAGGTCGAACAGGGAGTCGACGTCCTTCCCGGTCATCGGATTCTGTGCCGCAGACGTCTGTTCGGCAAAGATCTCTACGTAATCGCCCAAGAGGTCGGCGCGAGGAGTCGTGCGTATTTCCTTGGCGGTCTCGAGGACTTGCGCGAGTTTCCGACACCGCTTGAAATAGAGTGGGTCATTGCGTGCGAGGTCCACCGCCAGGTTCCGGAACGTGGTGTCGTCGTCAGCGGTCCAATTGATCTTAGGCGGTCTCATCATATTTTCGGTTTCTTTCAGAGCCTCCGCTGCGAGTTCCAGGAACCTGGCTGGTTGGTCTACGACGGCTTTCGCAAAGTCCCTGGGCAGAGAGGATCGATAAACCACCCCTTCGAACGTCCGCGCCGCCCCCTCTCCAAACGTCGCTGTCACTCTCCCCCTGTCCGCTCTTCCAGAGTCGCGTAGAACGTCTAATATGCTGTTCGCATACAAGTCGGGTGCTTCTCCAGAAGCATCCGTGACTCTCCCAA